GGAACATGGCTATCAGCCTATCCACTCTATCAACGTAAGACTTGGCCATAAAATCCTGCTCTATTTTGCTCTGGGCTGCAATTATTGAATATCCCTCAAATATGCGTCTAACACAAAAGAAACGGCCCCAGGCTTTCCTTTCTTTTCATTGCTTAGAAAAAAATGGAAAACACCAAGCAATGAGGCGTTGAAAATATTAGTTACATCGGGAGAGACGAATAGAAGCAACTCATTCTAGAAAACAGAATTCATAAACCAAGGCCCCTCTGACACCTAGTGAGTCCCCAAGAAGGCGTAAAGTCCTTGGTTTAGCAGGCTGGGAAGCACATCCTGGGACTAAAACCCCCAATCACAAAAATGTGTGTAGTCGGTAAGGGCTGTTGTCACGAGGGAACCCTGTGGTTCCAGTTCTCAGCCTTTGCTTTTCTAAATTTAATTCAGAGGCTGGATCATGAAAGGATTGCTCACAGGCAGATTCAAATGTACATCTCCAAGGTCTGTGTTTCAATCTGCAATGTCTACAATGGAGCACAGTGCTCAGAATCATCAGTGCAGCCCAGAGGCTAGCTTTCCAAGTGTACAGCGAGCACATAACTGGGCCCGAGAGCCTGAAGACTGTGGGACTCATCAACTCTTCATCTTTAGGGTGACTCCGTCTCCATGTTCTGCCCCCACATCCCACACTTCCTCGTTGTTCTTAGCCACTCCCATTAAAGTGAGGTTATTGGGCCAGGCGCAGCGGTGCACGCCTGTAATCCCAGTGGCCCAGGAGGTTCCCCAAATCCAAAGCCAGCCTCAGCAATTTAGCAAGGCCCTGACTCATAATAAAAAGTAAAAAAGGGCTGGGGATGTGGCTCAGTGGTTAAGCACCCCTGGGTTCAATCCCTGTTAAATAGATAATAATAATAATAAAGTTGTTATTGTTAGAATGTTAAGAGATTTAATGAAGACCACTTCTTACCTCATTTCATCCCCTCTCTACTCATCATTTCCTCTCTGGCCCGCCCCTGCTCATTTCCCTGCCCCCAAGCCTTTGCACTTGCTGGCCCTTCCATTCTTGATAGCCAGTCAAGGTCTAGGGTGAATAAGTGCCCTAATTGTCCCCAGACTCTCCGGGATTTCAAATCCTATTCCTATTTCATGCTCGCCCTCCACAAAGCCTGCCCTGATTTCTTCAGCTGAAAGGCCCCACTTCCTCCTCTGATTTTCAGCAGTACTTTCTCAGGACTCTTGCCTCCTCCTGTTATACATGCCCACATCAGTATTTCCTCTGCTGGACCACAATCTCCTCCAGACTCGGACCACCCAGGAAGCACTCAGCAAATGCTTGTTGAAAACAAATTATTTTTCTGTTTTTAAAAACCAATTGTCAGAAAGTTCTTTCATGTTTTACCAAATGCATGGTCCAGAAGATATTGACTGTCTTAGTCTGTTTTCTGTTGCTAGTAACATAACACCACAGACTGGATAAGTCATAAAGAAAGGTTTATATTGGTTCATGGGTCTGGTTCAAGGTTGAGAGACCACATCTGATGATGTCATTCCTGCTAGCAGAGTCCCCTGGTGCACAGGATATATCACACAGTGAGAGGGAGTGTGGGAGACCTAGTCAAACTAGCTTTTATAGCAGACCTCTCTGCAGATAACTCATTAACTCACTAATCCATAAACTGAGTGAATGGATTAACCGATCATAAGTGCAGAGTTCTAATGACCTCTTAAAGGTCCTCCTTGGTCCTATCTCTTAATATCTCATAATGGGGATTAAGTTTAACCTGAGTTTCACAGGAGACAAGTCACATTCGAACCATAGTATTGATTTTTTTTTTTTTTTTTTGTACAGGGATTGAACTCAGGGGCACTTGACCACTGAGCCACATCCCCACACATCCCCAGCTCTATTTTGTATTTTATTTAGTGACAGGGTCTCATTGAGTTGCTTAGCACCTTGCTATTGTTGAAGCTGGCTTTGAATTCATGATCCTCTTGCCCCAGCCTCCAGTGTTGCTGGGATTACAGGCGTGAGCCACAGCATCTGGATTAGTATTGATTTTTTTTAATATTCTAGTTTTAGTTGTACACCTTTATTTTATGTATTTATTTTTATGTGGTGTTGAGGATCAAACCCAGGACCTTGCACATGCTAGGTGAGTGCTCTTCCACCCCAGCCCCTGTTATTGATTTTTATGGGCAGTTTTCCTAAAACCTGTTTACAACTTCTAGGAAGACCATATCATTCTCTTTCTCTGTCCCTCTCCCTCTCCCTATCTCTCTTTCTTATTTCAACCTCCATCCTCTACTTTGCAACAAATTTCCAATATGGGCTTCTTCTACTCAATATGGTGCTATGTATAATTTTTTTTTAGTTCCATGTGTGTACATTAAAAAGTAATGACATGGCATCCCACCAAGCGAAATGCAAACACATCTGCCATGTGTGTTCTGAAAAACTAATTAATAATACATGTCTTCATCTCCTTTTGATGTATTTAAATACATTGTACCTTGCCCTGGGAGGATTCTGGGTCCATGATCACTGCACATCTTACAGCTTTCATTTCGATTTTGTGCTATTAGGAGTAAATCAAGGAAGACGTCCAAAGAGGTGGAAATAGAATACATGCAGTATATACCTTATATTAGCCTATTAAGCAGTAATTTAATTGATGACAATTTTGCTTCTACATTGAGTGGTGTTTGCAAGAGTTTTCCTGGGTCAAACTAACAGTGGAAATCAATTTAGAGAGCAAAGATATTGCTTAATCTCAACTTTCTATATTTGTACTGTTGCCACAGGCAAGTCATTAACCCCTGAATGCCTCAGCCTTCTCATTTACAAAATGAGAAGGATGGCCTGTGAGGTTTTCAAGGTCCTTTCCAGATATGAGAGCCAATACAGTTCTTTGTGTTTAAAAATGAGCACAGTGAAAAACAAAAGTACACAGTAATTGCCACTTGCTTACTCGTTTTCAAAAATAATCAGTTTGGGTTGTTCAAATAACATATTAGTACATCATAAAATTGAATCATTGACCATTTTTCCCCTTCAAATGCCATCCCAAAAAGTTCAATGTTAATTGGCAGTTGTCACTTATTTTATGGGCCAGACTATATGGGCAATGAACAAACAGACTCCATTTTACCCTGAGACTCGTGTCATGTAAGAAATGCTTCTCCCGTGGGAAAGCCCCGCCTCTGTACCCATTAATAGTTACCTAACATAGCATCCTTCGCCACACAGAATAGCAATTCTTATACAATGTAAAATTGTTCTCTTTGGTTTCCATTTTTCTTGGGCGATGTACCTTGTCAGAGATTGACTGTCTAGATATCAGTAACCATTCTCTAACTTGTTCTGAAGTAGGGTCATGTTGATCCACATCCCTTCTGCTTGCTTGCTGCTATGCCTACCTGGAAAGTCCCTTGGGAAATAACCAATGTACCCACTGCATTGTCTCGCTCATGCCCAGTTCAGCTTCTGTACCTGCTTGCTTGCAGCTACATCAACCCAGATATGGTTTTTGCCTTTAAGTATCCTAAAATGCTCAGGCTCAGGGCTGTTCCTTGCAGAGAGAGTGTTATGGGTCCTGTTTAGAGAGAAGTCGCCGGCTGACTGGCTAAATAAAGACTCTTCCATTTGGACCAAACTGGGACTTGGTGTGCTCTCTGAGCGAACTGCCCCACCACAGCTTAAAGGTAATATTTAACTAACGATCTTACAACCTATAGCTAGGCAACATCTTCTAGAGACTTCACAAATTGTGTCCAAGAACCAAATAGACTACATTTTTAGGTTCTCACAATGAATGAAATGATCAACTTTATGTGATGATGGAGAAAAAGAGAGAAACCCCAGGCAGCGGTGAAGTCTGTACCAAATGGCACCTTCTCCCAGGATTTGACTGGATTTTTGGAAGATAAAAGTGAACTAAAATTGTGGTGGTAATTAACACAGGAGGGAGAAATGTGAGACTCAATAAGTTGAAGGAAACCTTCCTACATAGCTTGTTAGGTCCCCTCAGCCTCTCCAGAACAGAATACCCAGCAATCTTCTTCACTTAGGTCTGATGCAGGCACTGCACACTGGCCAAGCCCACAACCATGTTCCCAGTCACTATGGCCCCACAAACCCTCTCCCAGCCCTAAGAGGGGATGCCCTTGGGGGTCCCCATTCATTCACCCAAGCCAGGACACAAGGGGTCTATCTTCCTGACTCATCTGAGTCCTCATGCCCCAAGCCCATTCGTTCAACATGTAGTGTCACCCCCTTTCTCCACAGAAAAGTCTTAACTGGGCTTCTTCAGAAATCTTCACCATGGCTGATTTTAGGACTGTCAGCAAAAGAGTCTCTGCAAAAGAGTTCAATGTAGATAAACTTCCTATTTTCGTGTTGCCCTGTCTTATTTGGCTGGGAAGAAAAGAGTACTCCAGGTGATGGACACCCCTTATTAGTTTTTCACAAACATGTGTCCAGTATAGTAGTTTGTAGAAATGTTTAAACAAGGACTCTGGCCTTGAGCTGGGGCTTCACAGAGATGTCTACATTTCTAAGATAAGAGAAGTTACCAATTGGGCTCCATGGTTACAGCTGGCAGGGGGAGGAAAGAAAGGGGAGAAGGTGTTGTCCTGAAGGGTTAACTTGCCCAGAACAGTGAAAGAAACTCTTTTTTTTTTTTTTTGTAGTGCCGGGGATTGAACCCAAGGCCTTGTGCATTCCAGGTGAGCACTCTACCAACTGAGCTATATTCCCAGACCCCAAAAAACTGCTTTTATGTGAACTTCAGCAAAATGTGAACTTCTGAGCCCCTCCTCCTACATGCTGGGTATAAAATTCTGAAACTCCCTGAACTCACGGTTCAGGGGATTGATTGATTACAGCAGAAGCTGTGCCCTCTGAACCTGGCTGCAGCCAAATAAAACTGTTTCCTGCTGTCTTGGATGCCTTGCCTCCTCTGTCCCTACCACAAACAGAGGAATTGGGCCAAAGGGTATGCACATACCTGCTGGACCCGAGAAAGGTGCACAGGAGAGATCCATATGGCTTGACCCCGTTTTGACACTGAACATCTTACATCCTTAGAAAACCTCTCTGCCCTGGGAAGGAATGTGGGAGCCCGGGAATGGCTTCTCGGAAGAGATGACAGCCAGAGAAGACAGGAACAGCGCATGTGCGAGCATGGAACAGAGAGTCGCCTGCGGTGTGTTACTGGAACTCACTATCTGGAGGGATGAGAAAGTGACCGTGAAGGTAGGCTGAGGGCGATCTTGGAGCGCTGCTCATTGGATCTGAGTGTGTAAGTGTTGATTTTGCACAGAAGTGAAACAGATTTTCCCTGTTAGGCAGACACTTGAGACTAGACCTCAACACGTAAATTGTGCATGGTTAGAAGCAGAAGCTAAGCTGTTGCCTTAAATTGTCAGGCTTTACCGTGATGCTGTGTAGAAGTCAGGATTTGCCTTGGCAACAAGTTATTCCTGATATGGGAAGAATTCGCTTGTGCTCTCTCTTCATCAGGTGATATAAGTATGCAACGTTCTTGGCTTTAACACTGAACACTGGTGAAATCACTCGCAGACAGGCCCAGTTGCAGGGGTGAAGGGGCTATTTAGAGATTGAATATGAACTTGGAGACACTTGGTTTCAGAGACTGATTCTAGGACCAAAAGAAGATATTCATCTCATCAGTTAAAACTGTGTCCCAGCCCTGAACCACACAGCTTATAGTGTGCCAAAATAAGTTGGTATTTTTTTTTAACAAACCTTGTAATTGGTACAAGTATATTGTATTATAAGACTGTTATATTGAAAATGATAATGTGCAGGGGATAAAAACACTTCAGTATCACAATTTTAGTAACCCCTTTTTAAAAAATGTTATTATTATACCAGGAAATGATCCATATATCCCTCAAATCCAAGAACACACGCATATAGACACAGGAGGGACCTGTGACTGTCATTTACAGTCTAACATATTATCTATATGAATATCCTTTATGCATGCACGACTCAGTTTTGCCTATTTATATACTTGACATCAGTTGAATTGTCCCAGATGAATTATTTTGTTCCTTTTTTTAAATTCAACACTAAGCCTTTGAAGATTCATGCATGTTGATAATGTAGCTTATTCATTTTTTCCCGCTGCATGGTATCCCATTATATGAATATATGTTAATGTGTTTATTCATTCTATCGATGAGCATTTGAGTTATTTAGTTTTTTGTTATTGTTGTTGTTGTTTTTACATAAGAATAAATAATTTACTTAGTCAAAGCAAATAGATTTAAGCCAGGTTTTAAATGATCGTATAGCCATTTTATGTCTTTAAAGTCCAGATGAATGAATATTGTATAGAAGAGAGCACACATGACTACCTTGCCTGCATTACATAGCTGTATTACCTTGCCTGACTACATAGCTTTAATTTTACAAACTTTCACACAATATTTAGACAAAGCTCTGAAAAATTAAGCCTTTAGATGCCTACCTACCTTTGGGAGTTGTTCAGTTTTGTTTCCTGTGTGTGCATATGTACTCCCACTATGAACAATGCTCCTAGGAATATTCTCATAAAAATCTTCTGATAAACATGTATAAGAGTTTCTCTGGCATAAATGCCTAGGAATGGTATCACTGAGTGAGAGACATATGCATCTTCTGCTTTCTGAGATAATGTAAAACTATTGTCCAAAGTAACTGTACCTAATTATATAGCCGCCATGAGTGGGGGAGAATTCCTCACAACCACAGCTGGTACTGCCCAGCCTTTTAACTTTTTCCAGTTGGCACATGTGGACCAGGCCATTTCTTGCCAATTCTATTTTGTAAATATCTGCTCCTTGTTTTGGGGCTTTTTTTGTTATAAATATGGAATCTTTTCATGAACAAAATTGTTCAATCAGTATCTAGTTTGTACATCACAGTTTATGCTTTTTATATCCTGGTTATGAAACACTCCTTTGCCCTATTTCTACAGACATTATTCCATGTATTTCCTTCTAAACATCATAGTTTTTATCTTTCACATTTACATCTTTAATGAACCTGGAGTTTATTTTTGTGTATCAGATAAATATTTGCCTAAGATAGAAATATAATTCCATTTTTAAATATGGAAATACTCCATTGCTTTCCTAACTCATTTGTAACATTCAGCCAGTTGGAAATTGAGTTTCCATATACAGTAGTTTCTGAGCTCTTTGTGCTAATCCCTTGGTTTATTTGCAGATCAACACAGGAGCCATTACTCACTGTGTGAAGAGAAAAACTATACATTGAAAATGTAATATTCATCCTTAACTTGTCAATGTATAAAGCTAATGTGTATTTTTACCCTTTTCCTGAACTGTCCAGGACCTTGAAATAACCTTACTTCATTCATCCCCTCTGGTTCTCATCTATTTCAATTCTAGTTTGGTTTTTTTTTTCTTCACAATATGTATATAGTAGTAGCCCATTATCCATGGAGGGGACACGTTCCAAGTCCCCCAGTGGATGCCTGAACACCTTAGGTAGTATAGAACCCTATACTGTAGAAACTTCTTTTTTCCTATATGCTTTGCAGCATAGCCACATAGTTTTAGAGTTCACCTATCCTTCCAAGTTTTATGCTCTGTGCCTCCTTTGCATCAGTACAATTGCCCTTTGGGGTCATCATTAAGTAAAATAAGGATTTGATGAAAACAAGTACTGCGATAATGCACAATAGATCTGATAAATGAGATGGCTACTAATAACTATAGGGCAAGTAGCATATACAACAGGGATACTCTGGATAAAGGGATGATTCACATCCTGGGCAGGATGGAGAGGGGCAGCGTGAACTTTCATCATGCTCCTCATGATGGCACATTATGAATTGTTAATTTAAAACTTATGTATTATTAAATTCTAGGAATCCTCCATTTAATATGTCTGGCTGTAGGTAACAGAAATTGGAGAAGGGAAGCCAAGGGAAAAGGGAAGTCCCAACTTTACATTACTTTACAGCCAATGTTCACTCGGGTTTGATCACATACTTAGCACTCTTATTCATTATTCTTTTTTGCAACTCAGAACTTCCACCTGAAATCACCTTCCTTTTGCTTAAATATATACTTCCAGAATATATTTAGTGAAAATCTAGAAACGATGGTAAACCCAGTTGTTGTTATCCTGAAAATGTCTGTTTTACCCTCCTTCAAAGATAATGTCACTGAGTAAGAAAATTTCAGAATGGCTGTTATATTCTCCCAGCACATTAAAGATGCTGTTCATTTTCAGTGTCCGTGTTGCTCTTGAGGAGTCAGCTGTCAGTCTAATTACCATGCCTTTGTCGGTGATCTTTCTTCTACCTGTTTGTACATTTCCCTTAATGATTTGGTTTTCTGTTCTGATGTGTGGAGTCATGATTTTATTCATTTTTCCTGAAATTCATTCTAAGTTTCCATAGATGGCACTTTCTGAGCTCTTTGTGTCTTCAAACAGCTCTGGAAAGTTCTCATTTTTATTTTGTCAAATGCTCTCTGCCTTGTTCTGGAACTCTCACTAAACACATTTAGACCATTTAGCTCTCGCCTGCATGCCCCCTGACCCCCTTCATCACTTGGCTGCATCCCCAGGATTTCCTCACAGCCATCTAGTTCAGTGATTCTGTTTAGCCTTGCTTAATATGTTCCTGGACCCGGCCTCTGAACTCCTAATTATATTATTCATTTCTTCTGGCTTATTTTTTATATGTGCTTGGCAGATCTTATAATCTCTTAGTAATTACTCCAACTTTCAAGTTTATCTTTAGTCTTCTTAAACCCTTTATTCTGGGCATAATCATCTGCCAGCTATCAACATTTTGGTCAACAAAGTGATGGTGAGCACTTAAGATTATAATGATGATAAAAGCTCATACTGCCTAGTGATATCATCGCCATCACAGCCATAGTGACATCACAGAACATGCATAGAATATGCATTGTCTGTGGTGATGCTGGTGTAAACAAATATACTGCACCAACAATTGTACAAAAGTCTCCAGAGGGGTTAATTGTATAAGCAAGCACATGTAAGTGCAAGCATACAATTACATTCAGGACATACTACTTCACAATGATAGAAAATGACTATGTTACCAGTTTATGTATGTACACACACACACACACACACACATTGTGAAGTAGTATGTCCTGATGTGTGCTAGGTATACCATCCATGTTTGTGTAATTAGACTCTGTGATGTTTGGACAAAGAAGTCACCTAATAACATATTTATCATTATATCTCTGCCATTAAGTGATGGATGACTGTATATTTATATTTTCCCTTAGATGATTCCATAGCAACTGAGATAACAAATCAATGGACTCACTGAAGTGTAACTGGGCAGAATTACCAAATAAGTATAAATCAAACCTGAACATGCCATATTAACTGTGTAAACTACCATAATGTAAGTTTACTACATCAAACCCCTTGTACCCACCTCCCAGCTTCAACAAAATAACTACTGGTCAAATATCCTTCATCTGTACGCCACCCACCATCTGGAGAAGACAACCTCTCCAGAGACTGCAGATTCTACATCAATCATATCTGAGCTGCAATCGCTTGTCCATGACAAAGGAAAAAAAAACAGAAAGTAGAAAGTCCTCTGGAAATATAGTGCTTAAGATAGCACTCCAAACCACAAACCAAATGGAATATTAGTCATTAACACCCTCACCAGAGTCATCTCAGAGGTCAAAAAAATGCACATCTTTTAAAATTTTTTTTTAGTTGTAGTTGGACACAATATCTTTATTTTATTTCTATGTGGTGCTGAGGATCGAATCCAGGGCCTGGCACGTGCTAGGCGAGCACTCTACTGCTGAGCCACAACCCCAGCTCCCCCAAAATGCACCTCTTATTAGCTACAAGAAAGTTGACTCTAATCAAAGTTCTCATTTACAGCTGCAGTCATCCAACCGAGTGGAACATCAGGGTTATTGGAATATCCATTACTCTGTGTATGAATAAGGGTCAACAGACAGAGGTCTGTAGAGACTCAGTCCTCAGGCATAACTCAAAAATAAATGAATTACTAGGAAATACTAGCTTGATTTCCTGTGATCACTATAGAAGAGAAAATAATCTACCAAAGCAAAAAGCTCAATCACAGTTCTC